ATAAAAATGTTCAATCTCCTCCTGTTTCTTCTCTTTATATTTTCTCTTTCTCCTATCTCCTTCTATTTTTCTTCTTTCTGCTTTTTGTGCTGGTGTCATTTTAGCTCTAAATCTTTGCTGTCTTAATCTGACAGTTTCTTTGCTTTCTTTCTTTTTTGTTCTTGTTAATGGCCAATTTTGCCCAGGAATAGGACAAGTTCCAGCTAATGCAACAAACGTTGTATCTACTCCTGATGGTGCATATATTGTTGCATTTGTAAAAGAAACGCCACAGGTAGAACAATGACTTAAAAAATGATTATGAGAATGTTGATTCTTCTGAAAATAATTCTGAAATTAATTCTGATACTGATAAAACTACGAATACTACAAAGGCCACAGAAAAATATTTTGCGTATATATATTTCTGTGCTAGTTTTGGAAAACTTGATGTATTTACATGACATGTGGAAAATTTATCTTTGATCTATTATTAATATTAATTACATATTTACTTTAATAGTAATTGAATTACCCCCAAACTGTAGTTTCTTGAGTACCATCAATTTTCGTAAACAATAAACGTCAAATCCACGTAACAACCCTTGATCTCAAAAATGGTTTATTCTGTTCATCAATTGCAAAAATTACTCTTGAAAAAACACAATACCGATTCTAACAAAAGTCAAAAAAAAGATCTCTGGGACAAGTAAGATTGTCTGATACTACTCAAGATGCAAACTTTTCTATTGTTGAAGGAAAAAACACAAACTTTACGAAAGATGTTCACAAAGGAGAAAGTCTCGTATTATCTGGCAAAAAATATAATGTATTTGAAATTCTTTTGGATACAACATTAAAGATTTCTAAATCTTTTCAACCAGCAAGCAATGAAGCAATAGAATTTATGATTGAACAAATCCTAGCGGTCTCATTGATGCTTACAGATTAATGTTTGAAAAATATCCAATCGATAGTTGTATTGACAAAGAACAAACTCGACCTTAAGTTCACAAATCGCTTTGGATGTACGAGATAATGGTAAAGTTGAAGATCACAAAGATAAATTTGAAGATTATGTTTCTGGAATGTTTGGTGAGTTAAAAAGATCAACAAAAAAACTAGTTACTTCTCTAAGAAAGTATTAAGTAGTCTCTTCAAATGGATTTGACTATTTTCTTTCAACATCGACAAAACAACGTTGTTGGCGCCCTTTAATACTAAAGGGCTATTGTTGGTAACGAATCACGTTTTTTTAAC